CAGCCACTCTCTCATTCATGGAGAAGGGCCTCCTGTGACCCCCAGCAGGGAATTTCCCTGGGCTCCAGAGGACAGGGACAAGTGATGGAGCTGCTCACATCACTGTGACACCTCTTGCCCCTCCAACACCCCCAGGCAGCAGCTGAACCCCACAAAATCTGACACCAACTCCAGCTCTGCCCAAGACCCTGCCCTCCTGTCCTGCTCCCTCCCCTCCTGGCCGTTGGCAGAGCCCTGGATAAGCTCCACGACAACTTGGAAGCTTTCAGGGGACAGTGACAAACACCCAGGATATCTCTCCATCCCGGGACATTATCAGGAGTGACATAAAATCCCTGGAGCCTGATGTTAAATCTTCCCAGGCAGCTTTACAGCGGAGAGCAGCAGCCAAGGCCAAGCCATCAATCCCAGCCCCTCCTGCTTCCCAGCTTCCAGCCTGGGCCAGGAGGAATGATCCTGCATGGAGGCACCTCCACAACCTGGCTCAGCCCTGCAGGTCTCTCTCCCACCTTGAATATCTCAGGAACACTGAGGGAATGTGCTCTGCTGCTCTGGGGATCCCCAGCCTGGGAAAGCAGCACGTCCCTCCTCTCCATACTGGGAGAACTGGGGTGGGACTGGCAGCTCCCAACCCAGCTGGGACTGTGGTGCTTCACCAAGTGGGGAGAAAATACAGAAACCCCACAACAAACCCCTCATCTTGCAAAAATGACTCTCCTGAAGAGCCAGGCTTCCTTCTCTTCCATCCTCTCCATCCCTGTCTCCCAGGGGACACACGGCTGGTCGCTGGGGCCTGGCAGAGCTCTGGGGCCACACCCAGGGGATGATCCCACCCTGGCCCAGCTGCAGCACCATCCCCCAGGCCTGGGGGCTTCCTCAGTCAGCTCCAAGCTCGTCCAAGCCCCCGGTGGCCTCTCACAGGTGACATTGCCCAAACAGCCCCTCGGCCCTGGGAAAACCGACCCTGGTCCGTACCGGGATGGAGGATGGACAATGCAGGGTGGGCCTCCCGCTGTCCCGTCTGCCTCCATGACTTTTCAGAGCCTTTCCCATCTCTTTTTGCCTTTGGAGAAACACTTTTGATCCAATCTAGCCCCCAACCCCAACCCTTCTCACAGCAGCAGAGCCCCTTCCCCACCAGGGCACTGACGTCCCCAGACAGGGCAGAGCAGCAGCAGCAGGAAACCTCCCCCTCCCTCGCCTTCACCTCGGTGCTTTTTCACCCCTGAAGAAAGTTCCCCCTTTGCCAGGCCTTGTTCCTTTTACAAAAAAAAAATCTATTTTCGGCTGTCGGCTGCATCTGTTGCCAGGCAACCGTCTCGGCTCCGCATCTTTCCCGGATCCGGCTCCTCCGGAGAAGCCGTTTAAATTACCCATTTAAATTATCCGTTTAAATTGTCCTTTCAGGGCCGGGCCGGCGCTGTTTGATTTCCTAACGAAGGCTCATTCACAGGACCCGCGGCTCGATCGTGGCAATCACGGGCACGTGGCTGCCCGGGGCTGGAGCATCTCCCGGGGTGGGGAGGGAGGGGAAGGGTCAGGAAATCGCCGGGATTTCCGTCGGGTTTGGATCGGGCTGTGTGTGGGTTTGTGCAGACCTGGGTGAATCCCCCACGGGCTGTTTGCTGCTCCTCGTCTGCTCAGCAGCTGCTTCAGCTCCTTGGGAGCACCGGGAGGGCTCAGCCCGGGGATGAAGCGTCCCTTTGTTCCAGGGACAGAGCCAAGGTGGCCAGTGAGGAGCTGGCTGAGCCCCTGGAGCAGAGTGTCCCACGGTCAGGGCATCCCCAAAGGCTCTCCTGGGACAGCTCAGCTCCTTGGAGGTGCCCAGCTCCAGGGAAGGGGGTGCTGGGCCAGGACAGACCCCACAACATCCCACCCTGGGTCTCAACCTCAGTTTAGGTCCCCCCAGAGTTGTTCTGAGGGGCTGAGAGCCAGCAGGTCCTGGAAGAGCAAGGTCCTTGCAGCACCTCCAAAACCCAAGGGCTCTCAGAGGACACTCCAGACAGCAACATTCCCAAAGGATTTGGGGTGTCAGAGGTGTTCAGCTGGGCCAAGGGGTCTCCAGGCACTGGGATGAGGGTGAAGAAGCAGGGGACGAGTCTTCCTCCCCACGGGAGAGGCACCCAAATTGAACCAGAGGGGGAAACTCTGGCAGAGATCCAAACCCTGCTCCTGGAATGGCTCTGGCAGCGTCCCCATGGCTTTCTTGGGAACATCCAGGATCCAAACCCTGCTCCTGGAATGGCTCTGGCAGTGTCCCCATGGCT